TATTTATATATTTCCTCAAAGAATTAACGATATAGCTAATATAACCACCACCACAATTTTTACATTTATTTTCAGCTTTTAAGGGTGGTCTAGCACAAAAACTCCATTTTCACAACTCAATTTTTGACAAATCTGGCACAAAAGCTTCATTTTCGATTTTCTATTTTTAATTAAGGAAAATTTCGTACGAAAACTTTGTTTTCACTTTCAAATAGCCCTGCTATGTCTTGTGCTTGTTTGCCGCTCATTTTGGACAAACAACGTGCGCCAAGAAAAATAATTTTTCAGCGAGCAATAGGCTAGCGTCTAGCCGATAGTAATTATGTGATTTTTTGGTTTTCGTTTCGTTGTTGTTCGGGCTATCGTTTGGAACACCCTGGTTAGATCAAAAAAATCTGCCAAACAATTATAATAAACCCATTTTTTTAAAAATTCCCAATGTTATCTTGAATAAAGCTTGAGGCTGCCGCGGAAAACGAAAAATACAAACCCCAAAAGGAATAGAAGAAAGAACGGAACCTAGAGCACCCATACCTGCCGCAAGGCAAGACCTTGCTTGTTCTTTTCTTTCTCCAGCATGGCGCGTTGTCACTAGCAAGAGTTGAGGCAAAAAACTGATATGTGGCCGTACGGTACTTTAAATTTACTCAGTATGCAATGCAAACAGCAGCATAAACAGACCATCACCACACAACAATGCACATCACCAGGTACCACCTGTTCAAAACAGGATTTTGCCGTTTGCCCATCTTTCAAACAGATGGTGAATGCTATTGAATGCCTACATAAAGGCATCGAATCACCAGCACCGTAAGACATGTCTTACCGTAAGACAAAGGATGACTGATGACCAAGATCAAACATAAACAAATATGATCGTTTTTTGAAGAGTGTGTTATCGTTTTCCATGCCCCAGCTCAATTTCCAAAAAATGTCAAATAATCGAGATGCCTCGAATACTACTCTCCATTACGTCAAATTTTGGCTGTAGCATGCTGTAGCTCATATGCTAAATACAGACTGTCTAGAGACCTGGCAGAATTTAAGACCGTGACCATCTATTTCCAACACCGCTTCAAAATGCCCTGGGAGCTTTGGGGGGGAGGGGGAGGTTTTGAGTGAAAAATCATGAAAAATTATTGTGTTTTGGACTTAGACCTGCTTGCCCCTCCCCTTGCTGAAACCAGAGTAACTCCAGCTTGCTACCGCTAGCTTTCGTATGCTTTCGTGATTATGCGAGGTCCTTCAAAAGTGGATGTTGACAGAACCAAGACGAAGCAAGTCTGCGACACTTTCTTAAACAATTACAATTCACAGCTCCAAAACTAAGAAATTCCTCAAAAAATCGAAGCCAACAGCATAAGAAACAAAACAATTCTGCCAGACTTCCTTCAAAAATGAAAAGTTGAGTGCAGAGCTGACGGCTTCGTGCCAATGTGTTCTGTGATTTTAGCGAACCTGAACATCCAATGGACCGAAATGCCACCCCTCTCAGGAAATCAACGCCCTGACCGCCTAACATGTCTGATGGATATGTCTTTTGTACTGCGCCATCCATATATTTCGCAGATCCTCTTCAAACGTCCCACACATGCCATCGTTTGCGAGCCCTCACGTTTGGATCGCATGTTGTGCTTTTAACATTTTGATTCGGAAATGCGCTTGGCACCGCAGCTGCGTGCACTTTTTGAGCAAGGCAACTTCCAAAAGTGCTCCGAACATGCTTTGTTTCTTCTTTTTATATTTTGATTTCGAAATATGCTTTGTGCCACAGCTGCGCGGGTTTTTCAACAGTCCAACTTCCAAAACTGCCCCATTGTCGAGGTGCTTTTAACAGTTTGACTTCCACATAGGCTTCCTGCCATATCCGCATCCGCTTTTGCAACAGCTCAACTACCAAAAGTCTCTGAAGCTGAGGCGTTTTTAACATTTTGATTTGGAAATGTGCTTCGCGCCACAGCTGCGTGCATTTTTTGATCGCTCATCCGGCCAGATGGCTCCGCACCCACTTTAGGGAGCCTACTTTTCGATCCTCCGGAGCCGCAAAACATCGGAAGAACAGTGTCTCGATACTTTTCTACCTTTCCGTGCGCTTGACCTTCTTTCTACTTACTCTCTCTTCTCTGACTCTGCCCACCACTGTTGCTGCATCTGTCCACAAGCCGGAAGAAACATATCATATGATTACATATGATATCATATGGTCTGTGCGAACTCTTCCCCCTGATCTTTAAAGACTTGCCACGGCTAGATACCCTGAAACGGAATCTTGCTGCTGCAATGAAATTTCTGATGGGGAAGGGCCTTTCAGAGTTGGAAAAATATCGTGGTTTTACACCTCCTCCCCAGCCAGAAATTCCACCATATTAATTTTTGCGACCCCGGCAATTTGCCAGATGTTGATCTTGCATAAGAATTGAACATAAATAAATCAATAAAGAACGGACAATTATATATATATATATACACACTACTATATTATTTCTTTTTCTTTGAACCACATTGACTTCAGGTAGACGTACTCCCAAATCCAAATTATATTTCTAGTAAACAACTATTGGGTTTTATTGGATCATCGTTTGAAATAATTCTTTAACCATCTTTAACTTAACTTTAAATTGATGTTGTTTTTTTTCAATCGATTTTTAGCCTTCGAAGCAACCAAACAAGGTCGAATGAGATGAATACTAATTTGATTTTGCGAATTCTGTAATTCATCCCGTCAAACAAGTATTTGCCTTCTTGATTTGTCGTTTACTATTATCAGCTCATGTTTCCTAATGGCACGTGTTCTGAACACTCCACATTTTTTGTATGTTTCTGCGCTGTCATCACATCTGAACGGTAGTATTATATAAGTTCTTCAAA